TTAATATTGTATGATTTATGAATAATACTCATAAAAAAATTGCATCATTTTGTGGTATTGTGCGTCTCTTAAATTGTTCTTAAGCAACTAACTAGTTCATGTCACTTCAAGCGAAATTAAATAAGAAAAATAAACTAATACATGTTATCACACGAGTTTCAGGTCCCTCTAATAAAATTATGCCAAGTTAGTTAAAATATTTTAACTGTCATAACTTTTTAACTAACATCATGATATGTGAAATTTTAATTAACTTAATATGATATTATTAGAAAGACATAAATAAAAAATACGGGAATTAGATGGGGTTGTCAAACCACCTCTAAATATAAGTGTATAATACATGGTGAAAAAACCAATATACTCATATTTTCAGATTCACCTATACATGGGGACTTTTCTATTCCATGAAGATGAATTTGTATTTGCTTATCTAATTTGTGCAATTTCTACAGGGAAAAAAGCACATTTAAGAGAAAATAATATAGTAAAATGAAACAAAGAGCACAGAAGTTTGACATCGTTTTCAGGGTGTATAACTCTTTTGGCATGGGCAGCCATTGTGATGGCAGAGGAAAATATGGCAGCATTAATTGTGTCATTTTGATGGGGTCCAAAATAAAGAGAGCGAGAGTTAATGCAAAATATGAGATAGACCAGACGAGTAAATTTTTGAACATGAAGCTATTATATTTCAATGCATGATGTCAGTCGTCCACGATTTCATTTCATCTTTCCTTTTGTCTCTTTAATCTACAATACTTTTGTCACTCTTATGTTTCCTTTTTATGGAATCAACTCTTTTTTTTTTTTTTTTTTTGGAAAGGGAATCAACTTTTATTTTTTACTTATGAATCTTTTGTTCTATTACTTGGAAACCAAAATGACATTCAAAATATTAATAACAAATGAGCACGCCAAGCATTTTGAATAGCAACAAAAAAAAAAAGAAAGAGAAGAAAAAAAAAAAGCATGCCAAGCCATCCATGATGTTCTTCTCTTCCTTTCTCTCATTCATAGAGGCGGTTAGAGTTTCTCTACTTAATTTTTTTCTCAAGGTCGGAGTCTTGACGCCGTCTCTGGTTGGTCATCAACTCACGGCCCTCACAATGGTAGCTTGAGTCTCGTAGGTGGTTCTTGCGGCTGATGGGTGCGTTATGGTGGCAGTTGTGCTGGATAGATCTAGAAGGCATGATGTGTGGGGTGCTCGCTATCAAAGATGGAAGCTTTGGGGCTTCCGACGATGCGAGATGCGGGATGTTTCCGGTGGGCCTGTGGCATGGAGGTCTCGATCCTGATGGTACAACGCTTCTTTTGGGGATCTCCGTATTTAGTTTTGTGGTCGACAGTTATGTTCCTTTCGTGGCGGGTCTTTTCATATTCGATTGCCTACTTCATGGATCGATGGTCGGCTTGTTGTCATTAAATCCTTCCTGTTGGCTATGGCTATTTGGTTTTTTTGTTGTTTTTATTGTTTTATAATAAATGTTTTGATACTTCCGCCTTGTTAGTGTTAGTTTGTGTTGTTTTATTATTTGTAATAACGGAGATAGTTTCCCATACCTTCCGACTTTGTCAATGTGTCACACTCATTTATCGATAGCATATGTCATGGTATCTGACTAGATTTGATTCTATGTCCTGTCGCTTGTTTGATTCTCATTATTTAGGATTTGGTCTCGGTCGACTAGGTTAATCCATTGATTGTAGTGGTTCTGTCTAAGCATTGGCTGCGTTCAATCTTTATGTGTTGAACATGTCTTTTTGCGTTAGGTTTAGGCACTTATATTTCGCTCATGTGCTTCATCTATCTTTAATAGTAGATCCAGTCAATATTCGGAGTCAAAGTTCATTGTAGGTGGTGCTCACTTAGATTAATTTGAGTATGTAACTTTGTTTTAATGAAATGAAGTTTTTCCTTAAAAATATATATACAAAAAAAAAACCATCCATGATGTAGGTCGCCACAAATTTCATCTCTTTTTTTTAATATAGTTTTTTAAATATATATATATATATATTAATGTCTCCTTCTCTTTTCTATTTGATGTAATCGGCCCCGTTCACTTCATCAATTCGAGTTTTACTACAGTAAAAAGCTCTCAGAAACAGTCAAATTTAACTTTTTTACTACAGTAAAAAGCTCTCATATAAAGTCACATCTCAACTCGAATCAGCGAACTAAACGTTTAATACTTTTTTGCATCAAATCGTAAGTAATTAAACCTTTGTTGTATTACTTGGAAAACAAAATGACATTCAAAGTAATGAAGGTAACCCAAAACGAGGTGTAACATTTCCAACGAGGTAAAAAGAAGAGAATCCAAAAAGTTAGCCATCACCGTAATCATAAAGATTTCGAATCAATTAACTGAAAACAAATCAGCAATAATTAATTCATATATACTAGTAAAAAACGTTAACTCATTTAAAACAACAGTTATATAAATCGTTAAAAAAAAAAAATAATAAAGGATAAAAAAATAAGAGAGGTTTTTTAGTAGTCCGTCTTAATGATAGTCTTAATTTTTTATTGTTAGATCTAGTCAAAATCACATCAGCTTAAAAAAAATATACAGAACTGATAGATTTTAAAACATATCTGACGATTGAAAAGTAAGGGACTATCGAGAGTCCATTTTTCTAGAAACTATAAGAGAAAGTCCTAAAAATAAAGACAAAAGTGGGAAAAAAAATCTAAAGTAAAAGACAAGAAAAAATGACAAAAAAAAAAAACTTAAGAAAAAACTTGTCAGAAATGTTCCGCAATTAAAGCTGAAATTTATGAGGATCACAGACAAAAAATATTTATATAAGTACACATTTGAGGATAAATTAATTTAACAGGGTAATTAAAAAAAAATAATATTTTAAATAACCCTAGAAAAACATTTTAATGAGATAAATTTGAAAATTTATAAAAATTAAAGGTTAAAATATGTAATAAGAAAAAATAGGGGAAAAATGAAAAAACGAAAAAGAAAAACTTTTAAAAAAAGTAAAAAGAAAAAAAAGAAAAGAAAAGGAAAAAAAATACTAAATTTTTTTTTTTTTAAAAAAAAAGGGGTAAAATGGGGTAACAAACACCGGTGATCCGAGGTGTCCACCACTAAAAACGGATCGCCTCTTAGTATTTAGGTATGAATGAATTGGTAGTGCCAAAATAGTAGATAAATTTAATAAATTCTTATAGAAAAATATGACGATTCAGAATTGGTTTAAAATAAATAAAATTTTTGATAATTTATTAAAGAACTTTCCATAAAATAAAAAATAAATAAACGAATATGTAGAGTTATCACCAAGAACCACATATAGGTATCATGTTGATAAAGTTTAAAAAACTTAATACTTATAATTTTGATTCTCAATAAAAAAAAAAACAATTATTATTCATCACTAATGACAGTATTTGCCACAGCTAATAAATAAGATTTAGAAAAGAGACCTATACTTTTGTGTTTTTGTTGACTTGATTATAATTAAATAACAAAATAACAAATAAATCAAATTTGTGATGAGAATTCTACTTTAAGGTACAAAATACACTATAATGATAATTTTAATAGAGAATGAAGTAAATAGTAGATTTACAGTACATAATTAAAGTAAATAGCAAATTTTAAAATAAATAATAGTAAATTAAAAATTTAGGTGGTAAAAAAATATTAGCACGCAAATCCATTTGTAAATAAAAAAATTACGAGGTAAAATTTTTTATCGTTATTTACTTAAATATTCTAAATTTATTATTTATGTAATTCAGTTTTAAAAATCTACTCTTTAATACATTTTTTTTTAATTTTAATAAGATCTATTATCAAACGACATGTGTCCCCATAGAGACTCTTGCAATAGAAAACTTATTATTATTGAGAAAAAACTAGAAATACAATTCAAGATGGTAAAAAATATTTTTTATACTAATCCACTAAAAAATAAATAATTGTCATTAAATTAATAAAAATAAAATAAAAGGTCATGATGATATGTAATTATTTAGAATGACACATAAATAATAGGCATGCATAAAACAATGACAAATTATGTACTTTACTCTTATAATTATTATTATTATTTTGAAGTGTCCGATATTTTATTTATAAAGTAAATAAATAAAAGAGAAAATTACATTATTGCATTTCAAACTATTTGGTTTTTACATAGTAAAATCTAAACTTTTAAATTTGACAAAATGTACTTCGAACTTTAAAATCAATTATAATTGAAATTCATTGGTTGATGGCATTATGAAATTAACAGTTCAAGACATGAAATTTATATGTGACATGATTTCAAAAATGACAATCTTTAGCCTTGCATTAAGAATCTTGTGTTAGTCAACTTGATAATATTCAATTTTAAAATCTAAAGTGTAGACTGTCATAAAGTTTGGGATCCGTTATGCAAGAAACGAATAATTTAGAGTGCATAAGTGTAATTTACCCTAAATAAAATTGTTGTTTGTCCAAATGCTCCCAATAAATAGGAGAGGTTCTAATGTTGTCACTTTTACCACCAACTCAATTGAATCTCAAACGTTTGTCCATCATCATCCAATGGCTGAAATTTCCCTTTCCGGGTACACCAACTCTCTAAAGTTGACCCCATAACAACACGTTAAAATCGGTAAAAACATATTGAAATTGATCTCGTTTTTATTTTTTTATGTTTTTTGAGAAGAAAAAAAATAAAAACGTTTTTAAAATAACGTTTGACGTAATAAAGACAAAAAATAAAAATAAAAATAATTTTTTAATTTAATATAAAATGAGACATAAATAAAAAATAATTTTTAATTATTTTTTATTTTTTATTTTTATTTTCTCCTATATTGAGAAAAGAGAAATATATTAATGAGTTTTTTATATTAAAAATAATTTTTTGATAAAACTAATAAATGAATTTTTAAAAATAATTTATGTCTAATATTAAAAATATTTTTATTTTTATTTTTATACAAAATATAAAATTCATTGATTTCAAACGCCCTTATTAATTTTAAGATTTTGTGTGTAATAGTCATATTTTGGGGTCTGGGATTGTTCGCCTATAAATACGCTCTCAAGTGTTCGACGAATTGCCGCAAAGAGTCGTGAAATATCGACACGAACACTGAGTTAGACTTAGAAGAAGGTACCTTGCCCAGGTCAGCATTTTCGTTCGCCTCTACTCTGCTACTAGATCTAAGGCTAAAGATTTCAACTTTGCCTATTTTTTATGCCTGGGTTTTCCTTTTTTTTTTTTTTTTTCTTTTTTCTTTTACCTTACTTCTTAAGTTTGCGATTTTCGGTATTTTCTTTGAGAAGTTACGTTTTTAGTTGTTCTTTCGAATTCTTGGTTTAGCTTCTCGTATTGCTATCCAGAAAACAAGAAAAAGATTCTTTCTTGGCAGTTTTGGTTTCGAAAGGTTGTAATTTTCTTTTGTTTGTGTAATTTTCTTGGCATTTTATATTTGTGTAATTCACGTCAAGAAAATAGTATATTACTGTTTTTTGCTTTATGGGTCTATTACAAAGCCTTGGTTTTTGACTTCTTCTTAGTATGGTTAGAGAATATGCCAGAATTGTGAATTATGGAATCATTTCAACCTTTGATCATTTACCTGATGTTTTATAAAGTGTGTACTTTTTCAGTTATAGTTGTTTGTATGCTGAGATACGTTTCTCTCTCTGATTTGCAGCTTGAGAAGATATGGATACTTTCCTGTTTACTTCCGAATCTGTGAACGAGGGACACCCCGATAAGCTCTGCGATCAGATTTCTGATGCAGTGCTTGATGCCTGCCTTGAACAGGATCCCGACAGCAAGGTCGCCTGCGAAACCTGTTCAAAGACTAACATGGTGATGGTCTTTGGAGAGATCACAACCAAAGCCAAGGTTGAGTACGAGAAGATTGTGCGTGACACTTGCCGTTCGATTGGATTCGTGTCCGATGATGTTGGTCTCGATGCTGACAACTGCAAAGTCCTGGTTTACATCGAGCAGCAGAGCCCTGATATTGCGCAGGGTGTGCACGGTCACCTCACCAAGCGCCCTGAGGAGATTGGAGCGGGTGACCAGGGTCATATGTTTGGCTATGCCACTGATGAGACCCCTGAGTTCATGCCCCTGAGCCATGTTCTCGCCACTAAGCTTGGTGCCCGTCTCACTGAAGTTCGCAAGAATGGGACCTGCCCGTGGTTGAGACCCGATGGCAAGACCCAAGTTACCGTCGAATACATCAATGACCATGGCGCCATGGTTCCTGTCCGCGTCCACACGGTTCTCATCTCCACACAGCACGACGAAACTGTCACCAATGACAAGATTGCTGCTGACCTCAAAGAACATGTTATCAAGCCCGTGATCCCAGAGAAGTACCTAGATGAAAAGACCATCTTCCACCTCAACCCCTCAGGCCGTTTCGTCATTGGAGGCCCTCATGGAGACGCAGGTCTAACGGGGCGAAAAATCATCATCGACACCTATGGTGGTTGGGGAGCTCACGGTGGCGGTGCATTCTCTGGCAAGGACCCCACTAAGGTGGACAGGAGTGGCGCCTACATTGTTAGGCAGGCTGCCAAGAGCATTGTCGCAAGTGGGCTTGCTCGCAGGTGCATTGTCCAGGTCTCGTACGCCATTGGTGTCCCTGAGCCATTGTCGGTCTTTGTTGACACTTACGGCACTGGGAAGATTCCAGACAAGGAGATCCTCAAGATTGTGAAGGAGAACTTTGATTTCAGGCCTGGAATGATTGCCATTAACCTGGACCTCAAGAGGGGTGGCGATGTAAGGTTTTTGAAGACAGCTGCTTATGGCCACTTTGGCAGAGATGACCCTGACTTCACTTGGGAAGTGGTGAAGCCCCTCAAGTGGGAAAAGCCTCAAGAGTAAACGGGATTTAAAAGCATGTTCACTGCTTGCACTTGATCAATAATATGCATCTGCTTTCCAGCTGCATTGGGCCCACAAATTTGAGCTATTGCTTGCTTGTCTTTCTTTTGTCCCTTTTTTTTCTCGAAATTTTTTTTTATTCTCTTTAATGTGTTAAAAAATAAAAGTTACTGATTTTTGAGTTGTAATCAAAGCAATCTTGCAGAATGAAGCTGCTTCAATATCTATCTTAGGATGTTTTAAATGTGATTAATGACCAATGTTATTCTCTTCATTTACCCTCTCTCTCTCTCTCTCTCTCTCTTCTCAACTGGATTGATCTCCCTTTGTCTTTGAGTCTGCTTTAGTCGGTCGTGAAAGTTTCCCTTGCCTTGCTTCATGAGACTTGTAACAATTAAAAATTGGTTATGCCTTGTGCGAGTTTCAAAACATCAGGTTTATTTGACACAATCTCAATTTAAGGAAGAGGTAGGAAAAACATTGTCTCCTATGTTTCTCCGGTATTATTATGAGTACCATGAAATCGTTACTCTCTCTCTCTCAAAATTGTATGATAAGGATTTTATAAATATGGTTTTGATGATGAATGACCATAGATCATGAAGGATGATCCATATCGCCTATAGTCATACTGGGGATGTTCTATTATCAAAAGAGTAACAAGGGGCTGTCAAAAAAACAAACGTTATAGCATGACATTACATGCTAAGGATTATAAACTAACCATCACAAACTACATACCCACCTATAGCTACCATAGATTGTCGTAAGTTCATTTACAGAATGAAACACCGTCTACTTAATTTGTTCATGTGACATTTATCGTTTTCTATGGTTTCTCTGGGTCATCGCCATAAGTCTCTGGCCACCGCCATTTTTCCAAACTCCACAAACCGGCAACCCTTCAGGCGGATCCTTATCCTCATCTATTTTTACCTCGTTCATATCAGAACTAGCATCGGAACCACCATGTTCTATAACTGTTGCGGCATCGCTACCAAGTCGGTTTCTAAGGAACTTAGACGTCTTCTTCTGATGCTTGTTGCCTGCTCCACCATTCCCCAAATTTTTCTTGGAGCTATCACCATTTGATTGAGAACCATTCTGGCTCTGCTTATCATCAACTAGAATCTTTGATTTTCCTTTTGCAGAATGGGGGTCATCCTTTGATAAAACATCCGTACGGTCTACAAGGCTCTTGTAATTTGATTCCAATTTCTTCATGCTACTAATAATACTCTCTACCAAAACATCCTTTGCAGCACTGATTTCATTCTCTTGACATTTCTCCTTGCCTTTCTTCAAACTTCTCATGTTCTTTGATAGACCACTGTCATTCCCCAAGTTATTCACATGAGAACCACAGCCCCTTGTATTAAAATTGTAAGTCTCAACCAGCTCTTTTTGCTTCTCTGGATCGGGACAGAGTCTTGCTAGTTCAAGAACAAGATGAGACAAGCCAAACTGGCAAACACAGGCAAGATATTCTTCTGTATTGATCAAATCGTGCCGATACTTTGAAGATATTTCTTTAAATGCTGCGTATTTCTTTTCGTCATTTTCTAAAGCCACGCGGATTCTTACCACAAGAGACTTATTGGCAGAATTAACATCTTCTGCCTTCAGCAGAGTCAGGATACTTGTAGCTGATTTAGCAGTTAGAACAGCAGAAACAGGTGGGAAACTAGAGATAGAGTTACCAGAAAACCCTCTGGCGGTAAGGTTCAGTAATGAAGCAGAATGGGTAAATGTAGTTTTGGTAGTTGAATTTCTTGATGAGCTACCCGTGCCAGATGATGAAGGTTCATGAGATTTGACCAGACTAACTGAAACAGTGCTTTCATAAGAGGGAGATAAATGCGTACTCCTTGTTGTGGACCTACTATGGAGAATACTTGGAGAACTAGATGATGACAAACGCCCAGAATTCAAAACATGCCTTGGCTGCTGAGAACTACATCCTAACAAGTTGGGCGGGCGATTTGCTGCTAGCCACGCTGGAGAATTATTACGAATGGATAGAGCAGCATTGTTTTGAGGATGAAGAAGACTTGCTGTAGAGTTCCCATCTAATCCTCCAAAAGCATTTTTTCTTTTCTTTTTACCTCGGCTTGGAGCAGCAGGAAGTGGAGGAAAGGATGAATCTTCCAGTCGGGCAGTCCTGGGGATCTGCCTTAAAGCATCAGAGGATATTGAAGACGGCTCAGAATCCACAGTTGCTAATACTTCAAAAGAGCCCACTGATTCAAATTCACTCGTTTCTCTATGATTAGAAACTGCTCCAGCACTGGATAAAGTTCCGCGAGAACTTTCTGCATTGGCTGTCTCAAGACTAGCTTGGATAGACGGGGGAAGTTGAATTTCGGTCCGATCAGAAGGAAATCTACGTCCTCTTCCGTGACGATCTTGCTGAGCACCTCGTCTATAGTGAAAGCTTATTGGTATCTGGTATAGATATAGAAAGCTTGACACAGTTGCTCCAATAAATACAGCAAACATAGCCATAATGCAGAAGAAACATATAAGTGATTCATAAATTCAAGTGAAACAATAACCTGAAGAGAAGTAAGACGCTTGCAGCGAGACATCCGCCCTCCATGTTCCATGACGTTATGCCTCTACAAAATGACGTTTTCATGAGACAAATGCTCTACATGGCAGAAAAAAGTGGACTTCTCCAGATATAATGAATAGAAGAAATGAAAAAAGAAGCAGATAGAGAAGTATGAACATGTGAAAAAAGATGTCACCTTCATTTCAGATTCAGTTGCATAAACAACAAATTTTTTTTCTAGGCAAGCCTCATCCTCGCACAAGAAGTGTGCTTGACGAAAATGGATCTGCAAAATAAACTTCTGAGGTCAGCTATGAAAAGACCTGAGAAAAAACATGGAAGCCAGAAAATAAAGGAAGACAGAAAACAACTGGCCTCCAAGTCATCATAGTTTTTGTAGTATTCATACTGTCCCGGATGCTGCCTGCATTAATGAAGATAAACGAAAGTGCAAGTTAATACAACTTGAAGCATATGTTAACATCCATAAAGCAAAAACTACCTTTGGCAAATATGACATGTATAATGTTCGGTTGACATATGGCAATATAGCTCATTTTCTCCATAAAAAGGGTTTTGGCAAAATTCACACGCTGGATGTCCCTTAAATCCTCCTCTTTCAGTTTCACTGCCATCAACTTCTGAATCACCTGTCTTTATATGCTGATCCAATTGTGCTTTAGTATATAAATTTTGTTCACATATGAAAACCTGCTTGATAATTTAAAGTTAGATATCAGTTATCACAGTAGAATTTCAATTGTAAATAAGCATGTTTTAGGAATTAAATTACCAGGCTGAATTTTTTTTATTATAACTTACGCCCCACCATGATCATTCTCTCCAATCATAGAAAAGAAAAGATGATTAAAGTAAGAACTTCAAGTCTTCAACATGTAAATTAAAAAAAAAAAAAAAAAAAAAAACACGCCGAGCAGTTATTGCCACAAATCTGGTTGTCTCCTACATACCCAATATCTAGAAAATTGGAAGTATGGTCAGAGATAATGAAATAGAACATGGTGATGTCCTTTAACCGCATTTTGTTTAGAAGCAGATATACGGTAATAATGTTATAATTCAAATGTATCTCACCTTCCTACTTTCCAGACACAAACTGCACATTAACAGCCCATGTCGATGAATCAAATGGCTTCTCAGGTGCTCAACATTCTTAAACTCCCCTTTCCTTGTGAACACTTTGCTCCTTTCATTAGTTTTATCACAAACACTACATGACAACCTGCACATGGCCTTTATTATCTTGTAACGATCCAAATCATCAAAATATGCTTGTGTTCCTTCCTGATACCAATACGTCCCAACTTGACCCTCCGTTGGATCAGCTGGAAAAATTGCAAAGTCATTTATCATCCGTGTATAATCTCCTAATGCCTGGATAATTGGTAAAGGGAATAAGAACAAACGAGGATGCAGGAAAAAAGAACAAAAAAATAAATAATCTAAGCAACAAGAGCGTCAATAGTTCACATGACAAAAAAGATGGCATTTTGCTTTAGCTTCCTCAAGGTTCAGGCGGTAAATTGAAACCAAAGACAAGAATTAGCATAACGATAGCACAGTGTAACTGGAAGTATAGAACATGTAACATAAAAAAAGGCAGGCTTAGTTTATCTGAAATCCAATGCTCC